CCTCAGCATTTTCGTCTGCAAGAGGCCATTACTTAGCTAACAGAATTAGATCAATTGTGTTTTTCGATTGCAACCCTCTCCCAGGCCTAAATCTATTTACATAATGCCCAATGAGTTATTTTTTTCCGATACATTGGTATTACTCTGGAATCTAGCTTGCATTTACCCTTTAAATAAAAGGCATTTTTTATTAAAATCCGTAAGCGATTATTTTATATCCGCCCTTTGTAGTGATGTCGTACACCACAAGCCGAAATCTTGCGATTTGTAGATGGCTGCATTCTATCCCACCTTCTTTATTGCTGTTGAGTTATTTTCCCAGCTTAACGCAAACTTCGAATGCCCTCTTCACCTTCATTTTTTAATTGACATTATAATACAGCGACACACTGAATGTCAAGCAATTCGGTGATCGCATCCTCGGTGAGGGCGCTCACCCCCTGCACTCTGAAGTAATGGCTGCGAAGTCTTCCATTACTATGCGCCAAAGCTTCCGTCATATGCCTTCCGCTAAATCGGCATATCAGTAGTCTGTTCTACCATTCCTAGCACGCTACCTCATGTGTGAAGAAACGGAAAATGAGGACCTGAAAGCCGACTGTCTCTATAAGAGACTTAAATATCGTGTTATCCTTTAAATTTGAGTATTATTTGACCTTCTACCACGACCTTTTATCCTACCTTCTACCTAACCTTATTACGTGCTCTCCGTGGATGGGGCTATTTTTAGTAAAACATTTTGCTTATACCGTAAAATAAACCAAAACTCTCTCTTTTCATTTGCAACCGCAACATTGGTTACCGGTTTTTCCAAATAATTTCCTTCCATTACATAATGTAACCCAGATGATTTTGTTAAAGTTTTCTATTACTGCGTTCATTTTGAGAACCCAGAAAACTTTCGCGCGAGGTTTAAGCCGAATAATGCAGCTCTTTCAACACAACTGATAGGGTTACCTTGTTTAGTTTTCCTTCAATGGCCAGGACCAGTACAGACTGGTCATATGAAAAATAAAAGTTGCAAATCCTTAAAATAAAGCTACATAATTGCAGGGCAAGCATAAGATGCGTTGCCCGTCGTTTTTTTATTTTGTCGCTTTTAATCTGCTTGTAAAAATAAGAAGTTGATTTTGGCAGATTTGGTTAATTTAGTTGACCCAA